AGCTCTCAGCATAAACTTTTGGATAAAACTACAAAGATTAAATTTTTGTGATTTATTACATAAAAGAAAAATGTATGCTTTTATCTTCTGGATTTTCTTAATGTAAGAAGTCCCAGACATGCTCTGAGTTACCAAACTGATCAGTTCATGGAGATTGTTGATTCAGTCACACAGGAAAGGCTGTGGGGGGTGGGCACTTGCTTGCTTCAGTCACCGGTGAGACCAGGCTAAGCTTACCTGGCAAATCCAAATATCTGAGTCTCTTAGGAGGGGCTGAGGGCTCCAGCGGCAAATCAGAGACCCACGAGGCAGACGTGCTCACGCACATGCTCACCATGCCTTTCACTGCCCTCGCATGCCAAGGCCTCAGAAACCTCTACCTCCTGCCTCCACGCCTCTTGACGCTCCAGGGTCCTACAGCCCACCGCCTTCTAGACGCCTCCAGCCCACCAACGAGAGCTCTGCAAGCACATCAACCACTGTCCAAACCTCAACTCGCTTCCCGTCAGACCTGCTCTCCCCTGTTGCTCCCCAGACGCCTGGCAGTCACTCTAGCATCCTTGCTCGCCCACTGTGTTTACAGTCGCAAAGACCAGCCAATTTCCCGTCCTCCTAACTATTTCTCCTAAAGCTTCTCACCTCTGAGTATCCCCACTACTTCCACCCTGGTCTGAGCTCCCGACCTGCTGTGAGCCACACTAATCCACTGTCCCTCCAATCTTGCCACCCCCCCATCTGCCCGCCACTCCACTCCACCCCGAATCTCTCCAGCACCCTGCTTTCAGTGACCTGTCATGTCACACGCAATGCTTCAGTGGCTCGCACTACGCATGGGACAGAAAGCGCCCCGAATTAGCTATCCAGTCTCATCTCCTTTGGCTCCTGACTGCCCTTCACACTCTAATTTCACTGACCTACATACTGTTCCCAGAACACATTATGCTCTCATAATGCCATACAGCCATTCAGGCTATGGGCGCTACCTGGAAATGCTTTCTGCTGCTGGTCAACCTGCCCACTCCTCCTCGGCCTCAAGGCTCAGCTCAAACACCACCGCTGCGGAAGCCCTTCCTGGCGTGTGCATCGGGGGCCAAGGGCTCCTGCTAGCCTTCCTTTGCTCGCGTATCTCCACTATGGCGAACAGCACACGATACCTGAACTGCTGGGCGAGATGTCTATTGTTCTACTAGACTCTGAGCTACTTGATGGAGAACTGAGACTGTTCATCACTAGTTCAGCGCACACAGCATATAGTATAAATAAATAAACTAGAGGTCAAAGAAAGGGCAAGAAGGGATCCACTGGAGTTGGAACACAGAAAAACATCCAGATCTTAAGGGAGAACGGACACCTAGGACTAAGTCCCACCCATAAAGCAATAGAAAAACACGGTGATTCAGGTAGTATCAGGGTGACAAAGAAAGTTATCACTGGACTAAGCAGGCACGGAGGAGCTCCAAGTTCTCAGTGGAGCAGCTGTCAAAGACCAACAGGAAGGCCAGAGATAAAGGTGGTTCTTTGTCAGTCAAGTTCATCAGCCAAACCCATGCACTCAGCACAAGGCTGGCACCTCCCTCTCTGAGGCCAGCACTCACCCCCTTTGTCAGCACGGGCCATACTCCTCTCCCAGGCCCCACTACCACATGCCAGGTTCCACAGGGCACTGCCCTTGGTCGGAGCCACCTGTCCTGGCCAGTGGGTTAGTCTGGGGTGTCAGAGAGAGGGGGAGTCTGTTGTGTGGCAAGGACCTCGAGGAAAGGAAATGAAGCTACTGTTTACTGGGGATCTGTTTTATACCAAATAGCGTGCTACTTTACAGACACTCACTAAATCTCACAGTAATCCTAAGTCATGACCCCACTTTACAGGGATAAATTTGTCCAAGATCACACAGCTAACAACGGAGCCTGCCCCAGGCCCAGGGCTGAGAGCCTCCAGAGTGTTTCTACAGCCCTGACCACCTCAACATGGAGGCGGAGGCGGTCGAGACATTCTAGGTTGGAACCCAGAATACATTGTTCTCCAAAACACTGTTATAAATGTCAGAGTCAGCAGCACCACCAACACATAATGGGCATGCAATGCTTTGAGGTCTTGACCTGGAAATCCAAATGCTATTTGTTATTTTATTCCTAGAATTACCCTGTTCAGCATTACAAACAAAAATGGACTTGAAAATGATTTTTTGAATACAAAGTGTTCTTACATGAGGTCTTCCTTTAAGAACGTTTTTGTTCCACACACACACACACACAAAAAAAAAAATCAACGATAGAAACTATTTTGCCTTGTTAACTTGTAAGAACAATGACACTAGAAGACACCTGTGGGAAATGTGCTTATCTGACAAGGTGCTAATTTATACTATGCTGTCATTTGAATAAAAAAATCACACTAAACCCTAGGGACCAGAGCTTATGATAGAAGTGCCACAAACTATTGCAGTGCAGCTGATATGCACACAATCTACTGAGAAAATGTTCCCCTTTGCAAAGTGAAACCAAGTGTCGACTGTGAAATCAGATGTCTGTGGACTTGTCTCTCTTGGCGTCTAGCACATTTGATACACTAAACACACAGCTTAGCTGTGTTATTAAACCCACAGCTTGGCAAAATCATGACAGGTCGGACGTGAAGCATCAACATTTTTATTGTAATTCTCATAAGCCACAGACATTTCTGAAATAGAAATCCTAACTTGAAGCACTCAACTAAGTGTAACAGTGTGTCTTTCTCACTTTGGGAACAGTGTCAGAGCTTTTGAAACACATTATGGAAGCCCTGGCCTTTCATTTTTCAGGCTGGCGCTCTTCAGGGAGAGCTGTGGAACGATCTGATGGGTGGAATTTGAGCCACATCAGGTGTCAGTCCTTGTCCCAGAAATTCTAGGACCAGATGCAACAGGTGATCACTGTGAAAATGCAAATACCCAGGAGCCTTAGCACCTTTAGGAAAGTTAACACATTGAGGACCGGGCATTTAAGTGTAGAGATGCAAATCTGCGTCACCAGTCCACCATGTGTTAAGTACTAGACTGCTTTCCACAATCACAAGAAAGATCCTAAGTGATGGGTGACCAGATAGAGAAACAGGGAGGGACATGAACAGGACCTGTATGCCAGTCACTGTGTGGTACACACTCTTTTTAATATACTATTGTTCTGTTTTGACAGATGAGACAGCGCGGAACAGAGTTTTAAGTGGCAAGCTACAAAATAAGAGCCAGGAATCAAGCCCACGCCTAACAGACTACAAAGCATGCTACAGATTCTACTTGAGGCTTTGTGGTGCAACAAGGAATGGAAGTAAACAGCCAAGAACACATAGGTAAAAGGCAGAAATTTATAATTTTGCCAAATGGTAATATGTAATCATGAAAAAAATTATGAAACAAAAAGTTGAAGAAACACAAATTGTTGCCAGTGGTCATCTGAGAGGGACTTCATAGGTGACTCACCATTTTTCATATCCTTGCAAGATTCCATTGTAAAGAACCTTTTTTGACCTTATGTAACCTTTGTAACCAAAAAAAAAGAGACACCTTTCTCACTTCAATAAAAAATGAGGCTAAATGTACAGAAACCCATTCAAGTGAACGTTAGCATTTATTGTCCTATGACATCATCCCTAATACTCTCCATTAGAGAGCTTTCTAAGCTTAGGCCATTTGAAAGGAACTCAAAAAATTATCCTCCTCTAATGATCACATTTATTACACTGGAAACTGATACACGATTCATTATAGGCCACAAATCACCATGGTCAGTCAGCCTTGAAAGTTTACTACAGAAAGTACCAGAAAGGCAGAAGAACAACACTGTTCTCCCACCACACTGCACGGACCTGCACGCCACTGAGATCGGCAGTACAGGGAAGGTCTTGTACATAAACACGCCACTGTTCAGAAAATCCTCAGAAACCTGGTGAAAGGCCTGACCCAAAATAGCCGTCTCCAACACCATCTCATCATCCTACCATCCTGCCTTTATTAATAAGTATCTAGATGGAATCAGTGAACGAACCCATCACCAGTAGATGCTCATTTTCTGGGTTTGTGTAAAGTCTGTGGTCCGCTGCCACTTGAGCACAAACAAATAAGACAGGTTCAGGGCAGAGCCGGTCAGTGTCAAGATGCCACAGAAGGCAATTCTAGTTTTCCTGTGTAAATGCCAGAGTGCGGGTTTCAACATTCTTGCTTGTGGCTAACCTGAATGTTAACTAATTCAAAACATCCCTTTATATGTGACCTAGAGGATGCATGAGGTGTTCCCAACCTTCTGGGGGGAGTTGGGCTTCATTCATTTCACTAATATGGGGGGGGGAGGGGTTGTAGTGTATTGGACAGCGATGGAAAACTCCCAGAGAAGAACCGACGAAAGAGACCACAGCGAAAACCACAGCAACCGTCCAAGGACTTCAGTGTTCCATTTGGCAGCTTTTCCCAAGTGAACACAGACAGCTGGTGAGCAGGTATCAGAGCGAAAGTGCAGGGGCAAGGCCCCGCCTGGGCATGCCTCCCTCCCAAAACACCCGCTAGGAACTGGGGAGAAGCTCCCCAAAGAACGTCAACACTTGTGGCACTGCTGTTCACTTCACGCTTTGGGGTCCTAAAGGGTTTTTAGAGGCGTCCCCTTTTAAAACAGAAAGGTCCTAGGGAGGGGGTGTCTGAGCATCACCAAGGAGGACCCTGATTCTCTACGACAGTCCCAGGGATCAGTCCCAGCTCTGCGATCGCAATCCGAGACCAACCACCACAAGACCAACGTGCCCAGGAGGTGACAGCAAGGACAGTCTTCTGTGACGTCAAGCGGCCACCTGTGGCCGGCTGTCCAGCTCCTCCAGGGCCTGCAGGACGTGACCCTTGCGGGCGGGCCTCGGGTCCCCGATGCGGACGTGTCGCCGGGCGTGAGGTCCCCGGGGGCCGCTGCGGGTCCAGCCCTGCTCGGCCCGGCGCGCTCGGGGCCGTCCTAGCGCCTTCCGCCCGGTCGTCCCTTACTCACCCTCGCGCCCGCTCTTCCTCGGTGAGAAGGGGTAAGTGGATAGTTTGTGCCCTCGCCCACTTTGGCCAAAACCCTAAAAGTAAAAAAATGACAGAGACAGACACGTGCTTTAAAATAATGCTGCTGTTCCGGCCGCACAGCGCCCCCCAGCTGCCCAACGCTTCCCGGCGGAGCGCGGCCCCGCAGCGCCCCCTCCCGGCCGGGACGCGGGAGCCCGCTGTTCCCTCGTGGGGGGCGGGCATCTGGGGGCTCTCGCTCGGCGGGGAGGCGCAGGCCGGCTCCGGGCCAGCTGTCGCGGTCGCGAGGCGCCGGTGTCCCCGCGGCATCCGCCAGAGGCGGCGGA